TTTAAAGGCGGCAAAGGCTTGCCATCCCTGTCATTTTTAGATCTACAATCTTTTTTCCAGTGATAACCTCTTTTACAGCGAGGACAGAGGGTTTTAGGAGGTCGAATGGCTGCTGAGTTATTTTGAGGGCAATTTTTTATCCACTGTCCAGTTTCTCCACATTTAAAGCATTTTGAGTTGGACTGAGTTGCAAATGCAAGGGCTTGGGCAAGGGAGGAAGCCTGGTACGTAGCAGTCCCAATGTCCTGAGTAGCAACAATCCACTTGTCATAATGCTCATTCTTTAATCCCTGACATGCTTGTCTGTGCTCAGGGGTCATCCCTTCCCAGACAAGGCTGTTCAAAAGTATTGCTTTGGCTGCAGGATCTGTTATTTTTCTACCTAAACTTGCTTGCACTCTTAGTATAAAGTCTGGAAGAGCCTCAGTGGTCTTCTGCTTTAAAAAGGTTAATGCAGAAGTTTCTCCAGGCCCAGTGGACAAAGGTGGTAAGCGGTCCCAAGCCTGCAGAGCACATAAGCGAATTTGCTCAATACAGCCAGCTGGAATTGCAGCTTGCTGAATTCCTGTGGAGAAATTACCCTGGCCAAAAAGCTGGTCATAATTCCAATCCAAAAATCCAGGTGGTGGATCCTGCCCTGCTTGAGGTCTTAGCTGTTGATTGTGAGTGTCATTTCTTTTCTTGCATTAGGCACTCATCTCTAAATAAGGCTTCCCACTGTACAAATAATGGACTGGGGAGGGTAGATCTACAAATGTCTCTCCAATCCTGGGGAAGCAGGTTAGTATCAAATGTTTGTAGTATAGATTTAGTCCAAGGAGCATGAATGCCATCTTCACGTACAGCTTGGCGCAATTCCTTAAGTTCAGCTGCAGGAAGCGGATACCATGCTAATGGACGCTGCCTGGTTATTTGTAAATTGACAGAAAAAGCCTCTATTGGTGGGATTTGGGAGTATTGAGACAGCTGAGGGTGGGAATTTTGAGGCTGGCAGCTTTCACTGTCTCTAAGGCTACACAGCTGCTCTTTGGCTGTAAGGCATGTCTCCACAGGAGGCAGTCGAGGTGGAGGGGGAGGAGGGGATTTTACCTGAGAATCTTTGGTAGCTTTTGAAATTTGGGCGTTAGTATCTGGGCTTGTTGAATCAGCAAGAGAGGGGTGAGGATTAATTTTGCTGATGGGTGGATTTTGTCTGGCTTGGTCTGATTTTATTTTTTGGAGTGTTGAATCTGTTACTGAGCAATTTTTAGGGTCTTTTTTTATCATTTAAATCCTCTCTTTTTGTATTCTCTGGTGCTTGTTAACTTTCCTCAATTTTAGGTGGGTTTTTTAAGCATTGCCGGATGGCTGCCATTATTGGAAAAAATGAAAGAGGAAAATTATGCTTTTCTTGGATTTCTTTCTTATAGGACAAATGTGAAAGAAAGTTCCACACCTCAGGATCAGATATGTCTGCTGATAAGACCCAGGGTGCAAACCGATGTACCTCATTCCAAAATTGTAAGCTTTCATCTTTAGAAATTTTAAGTCCTCTAGATTTGAGCAGGTTTTTAAAGGAATGAATTTGGCGCTTCCTCTGGTGTGATGTTGAATTCCCCATTGTAAAGGGAAGATGTTTTTACAGCAATCGGACACTAGAGGGATGAAGCGCCTTGGCAAGTTACAAGCCCCTAGGTTTGAAGAAAAAAAGTTGCAGTTTTAAATCTTTTGTCTTGGAGCCGCTTTTGAGCTGCAGGTGCTCCACAGGGGTTAGCTAATTTAAATTTTCACTGAACCGGTTTTAGCTGTGGCTTGAATGCCTGAGGCAGGGTAAAAGAGCTGGCTAGAGGA